ATATATTATTATACGTGTTGTACATAAAACATAAAAAGGGGACAACGCTTTTGTTATTATTATTATTWTTTTTTTTTTTATGATTATTAATTATTAATATTATTAGAATACGATTTATAGMGTCGCCATGCGCGTCTTTATGATGCACCTATTTTATATAAATCAATTATACATATTTATAGTGCTGAGATCGAATTTTTTACTTCAATTTTTAGACTGCTGCAAAAAAACACTACTATTTTATACATGGAAAAATGTAGAAATCGAGCTTATATAATACAATATACATTAATTATAATATTAGAAGATAATCAAAATATATAATAAAAAGTTATTATTATATTTTTATAACATAATATTTATATATGTTTATGTATATTGTGGATACACTTTTGTGTGTAATACATTTATATAATATGTATATGTACCTACATAATAACGCTAGTTTTTTTTCGCTTTTGTGTGTATTTATTATTATTATTATTATTTTATTTTTATTTGTATAAGTTTACGATGGCAACTATTCTCTTAATTAATTATTTATTTTTACTATTTGACTTAATACACATATTATGCATAGAATRCGTGCTTGTTATACGTGTGTACTTAAATAATTCATATGCCAGTTTTCTGTGCGACCGCTCGATTTTCGATTTTATTATTATTATTATTATTATTAATTATTGATCATTACATTATACGCTACAATGAAATTAGTATAATTATTACTTATTATTATATTACTGTTTGTAKCCCCTTTCAGTGTCTGCAGTCTACTTTTATTTTACTCCACTATGTATGAAATATAATCAAATTTAATATAATATTATTATAAGTATTTTTAAAATGTTATTATGATATTTGAAATTAAAACCACTTGATGAAATAAACAGATACTTGAAGAAATGGTGCATGGCTCAGGTTGAACAAAATGTAAAACTTTACCATGTAGTATGTGTATATAGTACCAATACTGTTTCAAAATGGCGACAGTAAGAGCTACCAGCTGTGGTTAACAGGTTTAACGCTGATCTAGGGAAATGTAGTTATGTCCTGCAAGCAAATGCAAAATGATGGGAGCCATATGATATGGGGTGTGTGGACCATGAAGGTATCTTCGTGGTATAACCTGCTTATTGTTGTGGCATCCTAACCAAAAATTTTGGGTGAGGTCAGCAATCAATCAATAAAAATAAAAATTGTATTTTAAATTGTTCGCTTGTCCAAGCAAGCTTAGTTTTATTTTTATTAAGAACTAAATAAATAACATTTTTTTTTTTTTAAATAAGTGATCTTATTAAATAATATATACAAATAAATATTGATATAAAGAATATCGAACATGACCTGAATACCTATAAACTTTTTCACCCTCCTCAAAACAATTAATATTTTTATTTGCGCTTTTATTATAATACAGAGCTTGTATCTTATAATGATATTATAATAATTTCAGTATAGGTTGCGGGACACGACTAAGCAAAGGCTCAGTACATTACACAAAGTGCGTATCTAGTCTTTATTCAAACGAATGYACAGTTTTGGGACACATGTTTACATAATATATGTATATGTGTGTGAATAATGAATAATTTCCTTTGGAGTTTTATGTTGGTATCTAGTAGTAAATTTTTGTAGTGCAGTGGAATCGTGTTAAGGTGTATGTGGTGAGTTACCAATACAAATTGGCTGAGCTTGATAATATTTTAAGGCCCGAGGCTTAAGAGGACGYTACACACGTCATATATTGTATTATGTCTCCGTCTTGCAAGTACACAACAAAACAAATTTACGCATAGCTGATCACGTTTAACTCCGTTATAGTTTAAAAATTAGAGTWAGTTCACCTATYATGAAACTTGATGGAAAGAACATTATTTGTGTCTTAATACCTAGAAGTGCTTATTTTCAAGTCTATAATATAGACTTGTATTATAACATATTCAATTTGTAAAATTATATAAGGTACTTAAAAGAAAAATTGTAAAAAAATTATATTATAATCATAATGTTTCATATTACACTGGTATGATTCTACGTAGTAAAATTTGGAGATAATAATTTACGCATAAACTGTGTTATTAATATAATTAATATACATTCAACATTGTTATCGTTTGAGTTCCATTATAGTATGGCAAATTTCAAAACGTCTAAAAGAAATAAACTTGAAACTGANATACATATAATATATTAATATTATACAACTAATTATATCTCATATGATCTGAGTTAGGACATTATTGGCTATTATAGGTATCTATACTTATTGAGTTTATCATATTAAATTTATTAGGAGATCCGCCGGCTACCGCTCACCCTTCTATTTAAGAAAAATTTYAGAGGCAATTGCATCTGACATGTCCGTTCACCACATCATTGTACTCACATCCACCTTATTTAGCTGTACGCCTATACATATACTTAAAGCAGTATTGATATATATACATATTATAATAGACTATCCAAGTCTGAAAATGAAAAGTAACATGATATATTGTAGATAATATTATTATCGATACTTAAACAATCGATTAAATGTAATTTATACCTAAATACCCACTTATAGAGGACTTTTATTACAACTACTACTACTCGTTGTCTTCGATACGTGATATACTGTGATAGGTATTTGTGCCTAAGTACACATTACTAATTAATTGCTGGACCGTTAATAACACACTAATGTTTGTATTTTTCCGTCTCTACAGAAGCTTCCGTCGCAGACGGTAGTGGTGCATCGGGTCTGCAGCAATACTGCTCGTCCGCTTTAGTCACCTCCGTCGTGATGGCCGTCACCGCACTGGCCGCCGCCGCGGCTTCCGCCTGTTAGATCTCCGGTCCTGCAGTCCGGAAACGCCACCGTCGCCGTACGTGAACCTTCATCGCCACAGCGTCGACAACGGATGCGAAAATTACTAAGAAAATAAAAATTTATGTTTATTATTAAATTAACTATTAATAGTATACTAAACGCAACAACAACACCATATTATATGCGCACCTACCCGCTGCCGATGTGAGCCTAAAACTCTCTCTCTCTCTTTCTTTCTCTTCAAAAATATAGGTGACCGCCGGATAACGGGAGAGGGGCGCAAAAAAATTCAAACTGATTATACTTACATGAAAACCAAAGACGGACACGATGGCGACTATATTTACTACCTACTGGAGTGATTAAAATCACCGTATTATAATTAAATTGTTGTCGTTATAATTATTATTATCACCGTTTATTATTACTTTTAAATATTATTATTATTATGCGATGGATGTACGACGGTTTTCCGTGCCTTAATGCAATTTAATATACACACATATATATATATATATATAAACATAATTTACCAATATAATATGACCRCTATACAATCATAAACATTCGTAGATTTATTATTTATTAGGTTTATTTAAAAATAATGTTTAACGCGTTATTATATTACTACGACATCGTGCGCTTTAATCACCGCCGCTGCCGTCCCATATGTACTCGTCGTGCCGCCGCGATGACGGATGCATAGCTGGAACTTTTTTATTTTTTTATGATCGCCCGTCGCCTAATTTACTTATCTACTCGCGCACGTCGTTGCCCACTCGCACCAATACGATATTATTATCAGCGTTATTTTTATTATTATTATTATCATCATCATTATTTTTACTGTACACCACACATGTACATCGATACTGTCGATAATAGGCATCGCGCACGCTTAGGTATTGATGCGAACGTGTCAGGTCTCGGGCGTCCATCCGACAGCAGGACATTTTTAGGAACGTCATCATTATACGCTCGCAAGGCAATAATAATGTAAATAATAATAATAATACGTCCAATATGTACCTACGTACTTGGCTCGTATAATATTTTATTGTATCGTACAGGTACGCGTGCACGTCGTTTGTAGATTTTTAACAAGCGTTTGTTTTCTCATACAAAATATAGTGCGTAGGTTTACGGTGACACGCGTGACCTATGCACACACGCGACCCGTCCGTGGGTCATCGGAAGAACAGTTTTATTATTATAATTATTTTTTTTTTTATATTTTTTTCACCCCTACAAAAATTGTAAATCCATCACTCGAGATAACGAGAACTCTCCATCGTAATCGCGGCGGAAACGCGTTTTTATTTTTATTTTTATTAAAATTACTACAATTTTTTTTCTTTCACAACAATTCATTAGATATAGAATTATAGATTATATATTATATTATCTTCCACCCGTTTGTCTGTAATGATATATTATTATACGTGTTGTACATAAAACATATTATATTATATTATATTATCTTCCACCCGTTTGTCTGTAATGATATATTATTATACGTGTTGTACATAAAACATAAAAAGGGGACAACGCTTTTGTTATTATTATTATTATTTTTTTTTTTATGATTATTAATTATTAATATTATTAGAATACGATTTATAGCGTCGCCATGCGCGTCTATATGATGCACCTATTTTATATAAATCAATTATACATATTTATAGTGCTGAGATCGAATTTTTTACTTCAATTTTTAGACTGCTGCAAAAAAACACTACTATTTTATACATGGAAAAATGTAGAAATCGAGCTTATATAATACAATATACATTAATTATAATATTAGAAGATAATCAAAATATATAATAAAAAGTTATTATTATATTTTTATAACATAATATTTATATATGTTTATGTATATTGTGGATACACTTTTGTGTGTAATACATTTATATAATATGTATATGTACCTACATAATAACGCTAGTTTTTTTTCGCTTTTGTGTGTATTTATTATTATTATTATTATTTTATTTTTATTTGTATAAGTTTACGATGGCAACTATTCTCTTAATTAATTATTTATTTTTACTATTTGACTTAATACACATATTATGCATAGAATRCGTGCTTGTTATACGTGTGTACTTAAATAATTCATATGCCAGTTTTCTGTGCGACCGCTCGATTTTCGATTTTATTATTATTATTATTATTATTAATTATTGATCATTACATTATACGCTACAATG